GATTTAAGATAGATTTATACTTCTTAAAAATTGTTTTGGGAGTACGACAAAGGTGTAATATAATTCTTAAGGTAATTTTTTTTACCTTTCTTTTTAGAAAGCTCTTGATATAAAAATAAATTGAGGAACATAGGATTTAACCTAATTAATTTTTACCAAAATTTAAAGGTAAATGTTTTACACATGACAACCTAACTTATACGAGGACGACCATAAGAGACAAATACTAAAAGAATATTTTACTCATATCTAAAAATATTTTTTCAATAATTTTTTTTTATAAAAAAATCATCGAATCATTCAAATCGAGATTAATTATTATTTATCAATATTACTATATCGTTATTGATTACTGACTTAGCATCAAAAATCTCATTCGATCACGAGCGCTCATCATACAGATCGATTGCATAGCGTATATTCGAGTCAACCTGAATTTTCAAGTGAGTGTTGAAATCTTTCCTCGATCATATTAGATTTCTTATGCACACTACCTCTCGATCGATATTTTTTCCTAATAACAAGTAAATTATTGATACAGAATTTTTATAGCATTTCTGGACGCTAGAATTAAAGATGGACTGGATGAGTCTCACCTTGAAGAGAAGAGAAAGCTCGGAATGATTGCTCAGCTAAACAGATACTGGATAGACTAATGGTCACACCATTAGAACAGGAGAACCCCTCATCAGGTACAAGTTTCAGTTTGAACCGGCATTGTTAAGATAGAGACCACAAGAAAGAAACAAAGTGTGGTGGTCCGGCTGTTTATCCCTTCCATCGCACGCGGCATGGAAAACCAGCGCCGATCGGCGACGGTCGCGACGACTGGAGTCACGCTACCTCGAGATCAACCGGTTCACCATGAGATTAGCTCGCGCTACAGGAACTAAATCCACCACCGGGACGCTGCAGCCTTCTCGCGTCTTCCTCCCTGCCGCAGTATCCCATGGGGCTTTCTGTGTCGGTGGAGGGGCTGTGGAGCTTGGGATGGGTGCTGCTCTTGGCCTGCGCGGTGTGGACGCTGAACTGGGCATGGTGGAGGCCCAGGCGACAGGAGCGCTTGCTCCGGGCGCAGGGACTCCGAGGCACCCCTTACCGCTTCATCCGCGGCGACGTCAAGGAGGACCGGCGCCTCCTGGCGGAGGCACTCTCCAAGCCCATCCCCCTGTCCCACCACATCATCCCTCGCGTCGCGCCTTTCCTCCGCGCCGCTATGAACGAATTCGGCAAGTGCTCTCGGCCGCCGCTGTCTCACTCCCCCTTCTCCCTCTTTTGCTTTGCCAACTCCCAGTGTTTCAGCAAGTTGTTCGATTCTATCGGTGACTGATCGATAGATTTCTAAACCTTTCGCTGTGTTATGTTCAATTCGGCGTCTCAAACTCAGGCAAAACATTCTTTACCTGGTTCGGGCCTGTGCCGCGGGTGATGATCATGGACCCGGAATTGGTGAGGGAAATCCTATCGAACAAGTTTGGTCATTTTGAACGAGCAAGTCTAAGCCCCCTCGGACGAGCTGTAGCTTCTGGACTTATAAGCTATCATGGGGGAAAGTGGGCCAAACACCGGAGGATTCTGAACCCTGCTTTCCATGTCGAGAAGTTAAAGGTAATCCATGATCCATGGTTCTCCACTTTGGACACATCTCAATTCTAGCTTGCGGCTCATACGATTTTAGATAATTCAAATGCCTCTTACTTTGTTGTAATTCGCAGCGAATGTTGCCGGCGTTCTCTGCTTCTTGTGGTGATCTCGTCGGCAGATGGGAGAATTTGGTCGGCCAGGAGGGATCCTGTGAATTAGATGTTTGGCCTGAGTTCCAAAGCTTCACTGGAGACGTCATTTCACGCGCAGCTTTCGGTAGCAGCTATGAAAAAGGTAGACGAATCTTCCAACTTCAAGTTGAGCTAACTCAAGTCGTCTTTCATGCCATCCAGAGGGCGTATATCCCTGGTTACAGGTGATTTCCTTCTCTCCCAAGTTTCAGTTGAAGAACAAAGACTATTCGCTTGCAGACATTCGAATTTTTGCATTTGCCACCATTGCGAGATCTGTTTTGTTGCTGATTGTTGCCTGCAGTGCAGATTTCTGCCTACCCCACAGAATAACAGAATAAATGCGATTAATAGAGAGGTTCGATCACTTCTACGAGGTATAATAAAGGAGAGACAGGAAGCTATGAGAACTGGCGAAGCAACCAACAATGACCTCTTGGGCTTGTTGATGGAGTCCAATTTACAACACTTCCAGGAACATGGGAACAAGAATGCCGGGATGACTTCTGATGAAGTGGTTGAAGAATGTAAGCTATTTTACTTTGCGGGACAAGAGACGGTTTCCACATTGCTAACATGGACAATGGTGGTGCTGAGCATGCATCCTGAGTGGCAAGTAAGGGCTAGAGAAGAGGTTCTACAGGCCTTTGGAAAAAACAAACCAGACTTCGATGGCTTGAGCCACTTAAAGATTGTAAGTATTGTTCCTGCATCAAATTTGAAGAGTACACTTCCAAATGTTTGTCTCTGAGATTTGATTGTGTGGTCTGAACTAATTATGTTACTTATTAGCATCCTGCTTTCTATAAAATCCAAGCATTAGGCAATGTCCATCTCAAAATGACATTATAGTGCTGCATTACAGAAAACAAATTGTTGTATCAATTCTCAGCCTGTTCTTTATAGCATTTGCATGTTTCGAGTAAGATGTACTTGAAATCATTTGCAACTATAGTATTGCAGATTTTTCTTGTTTCTGTTCCTTTCATCAGAACATATCATGTTAATCTAGCATCCAAACAATTGAGAATGAGAATGATAGTATCATCTAAGTCCAAACTTTATTTGGCAGGTGACAATGATACTATATGAGGTTCTGAGACTATATCCACCAGCAATTCTGATACAGAGGATAGCATACAAGACAATGAAACTTGGAAACATAGTTTACCCACCGGGAGTATTGCTCATGGTGCCCATAGTTTTCATTCACCATGACCCGGATCTCTGGGGCAAAGATGCAAGTGAGTTCAAACCAGAAAGATTTGCTCAAGGGATCGCAAAGGCATCTAAAGACCAAGTTGCATTCTTTCCGTTTAGCGGGGGCCCTCGGGTTTGCATTGGTCAGAATTTTGCGTTGCTTGAAGCAAAAACGGCTTTGTGTATGATTCTTCAGCAGTTTTCGTTTGAGCTCTCACCGGCATATACTCATGCTCCGCGCACGTTTGTAACTCTTCAACCTCAACACGGTGCTCAATTGAGGCTGCACAAACTTTGAATCATCTTTATACATTGATCATTCTGTTGGTCAAGGACTTGGTTGAAATGATCGTTGCATATGAAATTGACTATAGAACAATCTTGTTGTGTAATATATGGTGATCATGTAAAAGTCATGTACATAAATAAATGCTAAAGATCAGTTATAATGCCAAGTATGAGACATTCTATTTTGACTAGTCAGTATCAAAAAGTTGTGCTAATATTGTAGAGAGGAAAGAATGGTCAATCCCAGCAGCTTCAAAGGTGAGTCATTCTGTTGAAGGCTTGTTGGATCTGTCTAACAGAGAGAGATATCAGTGGGATATACTCTCATGCCCTTGTATATGGAAAAGCTTTCTTGATGCTTCACTGCTTTTAAATTTGGAATTGTTCCAGGTCTTGTGGTTGAAATAGTAAGATTCTTGTTACCCATTTGAAAGCTATTTCTTCATTAATTGAAGGTATAATAAGAAATTTCATACAAATCACCTATACAAATTCGGTTGTCTTGCAGATGGGTTTTGCATTTGGCAAAAATGCAAGCAGCATAAGATATTTTTCTATGTTTAGGCAAAATACAAATGAACAGTTGTCAAGGCCATGAAGAAGGGAATGTTACCATATCAAAGAACCTGTAGGAACGCCAACAAAGACTATGATCACTTCATGTATTTAGATTACTGGAAACTGGGCAACAATTTATCACAAGGCTATCCATTTAAACATAAGTAAAATCCACATTAATTGTCCGATCTGGTAATCATAAAACAGTAACAAAACATGATGTAGTGTGTCATCATCCTGTCTTGGAGAAATCTGTACGAGCGTAAGGGAGATCCCAGGGAACACTTACATGGTGGGCCGAGGCAAAAGAATGATGCGCCCATCGAGGGCAACACCATGTGGCTTGGCCTGGAGCGGAGAGGGAGGGAGCGAGACCCTCTTCGGTGAGATGCCTTACGACGGCGGAAAAGATCAAGACGAGAGAAAGCTGCGGTCCTACTCAGGCTTGAACGTAATGAGATTGTGAGACCTATGAATCTTTCCGACCTTTTCATGCACAGCTTTTCCTGCTTCCCTCACCTTCTTGCCTTGTATGTTCGATGAGGTCCACTTCGAAGGACATGACTCAGTTGCCGGATGCAGACAGTGAAAGATGCCATGGTATTGGCTCTTGTGAGCTTCGGCAGTGGTCCTCTCGATGCTTGTTCTATAGGTTAAGGGAAGCCTGTCTTTTACCTACTTGTTAATTGAATGGGATATCTCGGTTTAGAACCCTATCTAATCTTCTCCTCGGGTTCGACTATGATATTAATTGGCATCACCCGACCTAATAAGAAAACTAAACTATTAATTGGCATCACTTCGAAGAACAAATTTAGGTGTCAGTTGACAAAAAAAATACAGAATATTGAATTTTTTTTTCTTAAAATTATAGATGGAAATTAACAACGAAAGTACGTCGAAACTGTAGCTAAAGTTTAAGGAGTCATCAATTAATGAAAATGTTTACAAAAACGCAACAGAAATTTGCTTCAAAATTTTGATGATTATTGTTATAATATAACTTCTTGATATAATTTATCCAAATACTTAATAAACACTAAAAAAATATAAATAACTATTTATTGCCAAATCTCTCATTTTTATGGTTCTTAGAAGGAAGGAAATAAAAAGTTGGGAGCAGCTCCAAATTCTGTATGGAATCAATTCGCCACCATTTTGTATGAATTATTCCATTCATCATCGTCATCAACATCTCATTTCGTTCATTTATTTCTTATAGCATTGTGATGTTACATGATACACGAAGCCATTTCACAGGTTGAACGTATTACTCCTGGTGACTTGTGGGTAGAGAGGGATGGATGTCTCCTATATGAGTGAGAGAGAGGAAACATATCAAGAACAACTCTCATTTGCCCATCATCCTCTTCTCCCTCTCCAACCCATCAAGCAAGCATGACATGGCCCTCATCGCGCTCACCTGCCCCTGAAGCGCCTCGATGTAGTCGGCCGTCTCCTCGAACAGCCGCTCCAAGCCTAGCTCCTCTCCTCCAGGGACCAACCTCTGCAGTGCTCTTACCCGCGTCTCGATCTCCGCCGCGTCGTCCTCGATCTCCCTGACGCCCAAATCCTCGAACACATTTGACGAGGTCGACAGTGCTGCGTTCTTGCACCCGCAGCCAGTTATCCCTTCCCTCTGTAGGAGGCGCCGGCCGAGGGCGCGGCTCCAGTGACGGCCGCGGGAGGACCGAACGAGCCCCATCTCTGCCGCCATCTTTATCCGATGACTTCTCTCGGCGAGGCTGGCATTGACATGCTTAGAAGAGAAGACACCATGGGTGCTGTGGTTGTCCATGGAATGCAAGTTATCTTGTCGTGCAGCAGGCAAAGAGAGAGAGAGACACACACACACAGAGGTTGGAGGCATATATATAAACTAAGGAATCGGAGAGTAGAGAGGGATGGAAGATAACGTTGCTGGATTGGGATTTATGCTCAAAATAAATGTCACTTGCTGGCATTGGCTCGCTTAGATTCTGGCTGGAGACACTGTGCAGCAGAATGTGTTTTGTCGGGGCTTTTGCTGGGGCTAATGGCTGGGCTCAGTTGGTGTTTGCCAACTGTGTTTGGCATCTGGAAGTGCTCAACTGCATCATAAAGGGGAAAGAGAGAGAGAGAGAGAAGTGCGTCATTGTTTACGTACTAAGCCTTCGGAGCTCGCTCGATGGATGTGATCGCTTGTTTGCGTGGACAAATCTCATACCCTGTGTAAGTGCTCCCTCTGGCTTTCCGGACTTCACTCCCGTCCGTCCATGTGACTGCTATGACATCTCCCACATGATGGCCGCACAATTCACAGTTGAGTGTCACCCTCAACACCAACCCAATACCATTTCCGGCCTCCACATGCGTCGCTGAGGCCACGACAGCCGCTCGTCTGAATCCCAGCGGTGGAGGCAGACCTCTAACAAAGCCAAAGGAAGCGGTTCGAGACCTGCAGCCCGTATTAGAGACATGGCAGGCACATGCCATCACATGATGCCATGAACCTACCGCCCATGTGCTGCCGGGGGATGCAGGTACCGGCGGTGCTCCCTGAGCCGACGAGTAGGAGAAGGAAGAAGAGGGGGGTTTGAGCCGCGCGCCCGCGGGCGAGAGAACATGCATGGCGGCGGCGGATTCCATTCTATAATGCACACTGTGCATGTGGGCAGGAGGCCAAGCGACTGGCCGTGGTTTCTTGGTGTCTGGTGTTGTCGGCGAGAGCTTTTCCTGCTGCTGCTACGCTCCTTTTCGCGGTAGCTTCGTGCTTCCGGCCTGCTTCACCCGGTCTCCGTCCTCCAGGGCAGTGCTTGTGGATGTTGCATGTCAGATTAAGTGGTTTCGATCTCAGGGATGGTGAGATTCGGACTACTTCCTGTCATTTCTCGGCAAATGCTTAAACCCAAAGCACAGGAAACACAGATGTCTTTCGTCTTCTTGAAATCCGAAGCATGAAGACGAGACACTGGTTGATTTAACAGGTTCCTGATGATGTCTGTACACAACTGAGAAACGCTTTAACGAGTTGATGGCTCCTTAAAGAAGAAATGACCATTGCGTGAGTCGAATGTCCAACCTCCAACCATCTTAAAATCGAGAAAGCAGCGAGTCTGGTTAGACCGTCTTATTGTTCGGTGGCTCATGAAATGGATCACTACTCACTCGGTCCTTGTGCGGACGCTCGCTCTGTCGGTGAGATGAGTCGGAAATGACGAAATAGGAAAAAGGAATACTCTATTAGATCAAGACATCAAAAAAATAAGCACAACGGGTGACGGTGACAACTATTATTTACTTCGTGCCAATGCACGAGTCCACCTTACACAACGTATGTCTCACGGAACCACGTGGATATTTTCGTATGTAAATATATCGACGGTGGATCATAAATAACTCTATTATTGCGAAGCTCCCACAGGACAGGTTACATACCCGACCAGTTGCCAGCTTTATCCTACCAATTGCCAGGTCACATTAAACACGCAGCCCACTCGACTCCACGCAAGACCCGATCCCAAATTACGTCAAAGCCATCGAGACAAAATGGATATTTTATATTTATTTGCATGTAATGGGGAGGACAGTTTGGGTATTATAATATTACATGCGTCATCGTTGGATCGCACAGTCTCCGATCTCCCCAATTATTTAATATTTCTTATTCTGGATTAAAATATCTATCTTCATAAACCATGTATTTTTATTAGAAATTTTAATCATTTCCTATCTTAATATCCCAAATAAGATATTTATTTTAATCTTTTTTTTGAAATCTTGAGCTAGAGGTGGGTGATCCTACTTTTTCTTTAATTTAAATTTCAAAATATTTTAACTGGTATTATCGCTTAATGCTTCATGAATTTTTGGTCGTATGAATGCATGATGCATGCTCAGATTCAGTTAATTATTTTAACCTTTAATAAACTATATTTAGATTTTTGTATATAATATTCATGCTTTTGGTTATCAATTTTGATTGTTTATTAATGTTCATTTGACTGTTTGAATAGAATTTTAAGCCCAATTTATTGAATTTCATGCCTTGTATTTAGATTAGTATTGATATTGTTCTAAATTTTGATAATCCTATTTCTAATCGGTTCAAGATAAATTGATATTAGTTCAAGTCTGATACTATTCATTTTAGTTTGGTTCGAGTCGAATTTAAATAATTTCACTCCAATTCAAGCCAGATTTGAACAATTTCAGTTTAATTTAAATTGAATTTGGTGATTTCATATTGGTTCAGCTTAAATAATAGTCGGCTCGGTATCCTCTAATTATTAGTTTAATCAATTTAAAATATTTTTATTTCATATTATTTGTAAATTTTATATTTAATAAATCTTTGACCAATATTGATAATGTATTTTTCTTAGCATATATATATATATATATA